CAGATTTGGAACACGCATCAATATCAAGGCCAAACACCCTTCAATTATTGTTACACGTGCAAAGCTCTAGTGTCTTAAAGTATAAAACTAGCTGCACCGTTAGGAAATGATCTTACTATAAACGCTGGAAAACTTAGAAAACAATAAATTCTCTAGTATAAATAACATCACTTATAAAACAAAACACTGGCATTCTAGAGGAGGAAGGAAAAAAGGCATCAGTTTGCTATTAGAACAAGATCACTAAATAATAACGATAGTTAATAATGATTTATAAAATGTACAGGTAAAAGAAACATTCGTAGAACAAATAATGAAACGATGGAAAACTGGAACAAATAAAATTAGTAGCAAAACTGCTATAATCAACCTTTCAAAGCGATTTAAACAAAAAATAAGATTGCCTTTCGCATCAAAGTTTTTATGAGCATTCTAGAAACACAAGCTGAAACAGTTAACTTCAGTACAGAGCAGAATTTTCAAAATTTTCAGTTCGCCAAATTAATATGAAATGCAACGGAACAGTGATTGCTTAATGTGACGAATGCTTCCATTTCTTAATTCGAGCTTTTCTGACAATCGTGTTTTTTAAAAGAAGGACACCATGCAGTTGAAAAGTAGTTTAAATTTTCACGAGGCGATTTAGTGCGAGGTTCGAACCACAGCGCGGGACTTCAATTTAGTATTAGCTACTGATTCCATTCATCAAGAAACCGACTCCACTGTTCTACGGTACTATCTACCGAGAAACGGGTAAGAAACCTAAAAGACGAACAACATGAACGAAATAACGTTGTGGAATCGTGATGCCAAAGTTTGTGCAATTGATTTCTGATGGCTGACGCATATGGCTTACGACAAGAAGAATTTTAAGCCGCCTCATGGCTGATTAAAATGCAGCACACGGCGTAGGCCGCAAATGTATGAAATTAAGGTTCAGAGCATATTAATTATATACAGCCTCGAGCAGTCGATATAAACGGATGTAAATGCAATTTAGCGTTAAAAACGCTTCAAAGAAAATAAGATGTTTCAAGGACTTTCAACTTACACTGCCAAATTTGTGGAAGATCAAATAATCGTATACCCTTTGACTGAGACCGACGGAGCTGAGCTTTCTGTTCATCATCTACAAAATAGCAATAAGTCGAAGGAATATGGCGACATAATTTTTTTACTTTGTCCTTAATATACTCCATTACTCCGGCAGTTGTAGAAGTACAATGTATTAGTACAATACCAAAACACCGATTTTCGTAAGCAATCTGAAAAGCAGTTGGCGTACTCTAACATGACCAAATAGGAAAACAACGCAAATAAATTTTAAAGACAATTTACATTTTTAGGAGTAACGAACATGTAACTTTAAGATTAAATTTTCAGAAGAACTGAATACCTGAATTTAAATTAAAGTTGCTTTAATCACACTCCATGAAATATAATTCCTACTAGCTTCGTCTTCTGCAGTTCTTCGATCTTGATATCTTCACCAGTTAATTTCAACATACGTTTACGGTCGTTTTTCACTGCTCTGAGCGCACAGATCACTAGAGAAATTACTTCTGCATTTACTCTCCAGATCTTCTCCATTGCCATCGCTGTGCTGATAATAACTTTCTTGTCCAAACGAATAAGTTAATATGCGAATCTAATTTTGATACCTCACTCTTTTCTCTCCCCTCACACCAGTATTTTCTGTTAGCCGAGCATGTTCTATCAGTGGTTTCTGTCGATCTTTTTTACTAGTCTAACAATACGATCGTTGGACGATAAGTCGATATTACAGAATCGGCTTGTATTAGGAAGCCTCAGTATTTTCATATCCTCAGTTTTCTCCATATCCTCCGCTTCTTTCCACTGCTGTCATTCAAGCTGAACACCTTGCACATATGCCAGTGAACAATCCTAGAAACTTTGTTATTCCTTTTCTTGTATTCCCCATTATGGAGCGTTTTGGGCGAAGAAAATACGTTTGCGTTGTGTCATCCCTCGATTCGTACATTCTGCATATTGTTTGCAGCTACATATGAAGGACCTGCGCAT